TTTCTGAGTCTGGTAGTTAAATATATCCCATCTGTGTAATATTTAATTGTATAAAACTCATTTAGTACTTTATAGTCTGTAATATGTGTCTGTCTGCTTTTTAAACCTGTTGGAATAACTTTAACTTTGTTGAAATATTAATATTAATAAAATTTTTCTTAAACAATAGAACAAAAAAACTGTTTGCCAAGGAACTTGGCAAAGTGTGGCTACAAATAGAGTCAGCTAGAAAATGACTCAAGAACTTTTGTGTATCCGGGGGTGGAGGGCTGTGCAAGTAGAACTTGAACTCAGGGCCTGGGCTCTGTACCTCAGATTTTTCACTCTAGACTGGTGCTCGACCACTTGAGCCACAGCTCTACTTCCAGCTTTTTGGTGGATGATTGAAGTTAAGAATCTTGAGTATTTGTCTGACTGGGCTGACTGAGCCATAATCTTCAGATTTCAGCTTCCTGAGTAGCTAGGATTACAGGCATGATCCACAAGTGCATGGCAAACAACCATTTTGAAAAATGATTAAGTTTGCTCCCTATAGATGTCGGCTAGTCCTGTTATTCCTGGACGATTGGGCTGAAAACACACTTTGCCTGGTCACAGTTATCATTTTGATTGAACAATAAAAGCCAAATTCTCCTTGAACCACCCAGATTGCAGATATACAAATCAAGAGAACATGGAAGGTAAGGATAAAATTCAGCCACTACCAGCAAAAAGGCAACCAGGGTTTTCAAGTGTAAATTCCTTTCACTGTATTATTGTTTTTTTATGTTCATCATCAATAGTAAATACCTACAGAGCACACATCTTGCTCCTTCACTATATAAAATCCTTTTCTGACATTTTTAAGCAGAGCTGAAATGGTGGTCAGACACCAATTTTAAAAAGAAGGACACTAATTTTATCTTGGTGGGGCTACATTTTAGCCTAAGAAGCACAGCTTTTTCTAGAAAACAGTACAAGACATAATTTTTTTAATATAGTTTTTTTTGGGTCCGGTCGTGAGTCCTGAACTCTGGGCCTGGGCGTTGTCCCTCATCTCTTCAGCTCAAGGCTAGCGCTCTACCACTTGAGCCACAGCGCCACTTCTGGCTTTTTTCTTTTTGCTTATGTGGTGCTGAGGAATCGAACCCAGGGCCTCAGGCATGCAAGGCAAGCACTCTACCACTGAGCCAACTTCCCAGCCCACAAGACATAATTTTTAACATCACTTGAGGATTTTATATGCATAAATGGAGCCCTTGATAAGTAAACTCATTATACATTTTGAAGTTTGAAATGTTGCAACAGAATTCTACATGCAAGGATACAAGCCGACTTTGGGGATAATTTTGAGACAAGAATACTTAATGAGGGGCTGGAAATGTGACTTAGTGGTAGAGTGCTAGCATGCACGAAGCCCTGGGTTCCATTCCTCAGTACCACATACACAGAAAAAGCCAGAAGTGGTGCTGTGGCTCAAGTGGTAAAGCACTAGCTAGCCTTGAGCTGAAGAGCCAAGGGACAGTACCCAGGCCCAGAGTTCAGGCCCCACAACCGAGACACACATAAAAAAAGTGGTAGAGTGCCAGCCTTGAGCAAAAGAAGCTCATTGCTGGGCGCTGGTGGCTCATGCCTGTAATCCTAGCCACTCAGGAGGCTGGGATCTGAGGATCATGGTTCAAAGCCAGCCCAGGCAGGAAAGTCTGTGAGACTCTTACTTCCAATAAACCACCAGAAAACCAGAAGTGGCACTGTGGCTCAAGTGGTAGAGCACTAGAGCTGAAGAACTGAGGGACAGTGCCCAGGCCCAGAGTTCAAGCTCCAGGACTAACAACAACAACAAAAAGAATACTTAATGAACATTTACTATTCACATTTCTACTTACTGTGGAAACCGATTGGCAGGGACCACTTTACACAAGGTTTACTTTGTTAAAATATGATCACAAATATCACCTATTTCTTTATTAGAAAATGTGACTTTAAGCCAGGAATGGTAACACATGCTTTTAATCCCAGCACTGAAGAGGCCAATGTGGCAGAATCACAAGTTGGAAAGCCAGCTTGGGCTACATAGTGAATTCAGGCCAGACTGGTATACAATGCAATATCTTACCTCAAAAAAAGTGACTTGAGTCCTAGCAATTATAATAGAAAAAATTTCCCCTCTAGTTTGATGACTTCAATTCATAAATATTAATCAAACAGCTTAATCTACAAATTACTGAGCTTCAATTTATTTGTCATGCCATCAATAAAACCTATTAGTGGGACTCCCACAAATCCAAGACCCAGTTCTCAGGAAGTTCTCAAGAAGTTGTCCCTGGAAGTTCCCTCATAGCCCTCCACTGGCTGCATTCTTGTTCTATCTCTGTGTTTTCTGCTACTTTGCATTTGTTGGTGCTGGGAGCTAAGGGCCCTGTACACACTTGGAACTGACTCTTACTCTACTGGAAGCCCAGATACATTTTTGCTTCAGGGGGATGCAGGCTGCTAAAGTTCTGTTACATTTCCTCTAAAGTTCTGTTACATTTCACAAGGACTGGTTTCCTGGGCTGAATGCAATGCACTGGCTAGAGTCCCACACTCACAAAAGGTGGAGGTATAGTATTCTATGATGGCAGTCTTAAGAAGCCCTTTGACCTTTTTCTTCCCTAAGTAGAGTCTCATGATTATAGAGGAATGTATGCTGGGGACTTGGATCTCCCAGTAGAGCCCGATTTACACTATCACTACGTGGATGGAGGAGAGCAGTTTTCTCAATCTAGGTGGGAACATGCAAAAATCCTCATTCTAGCAGCTTCTCAGTCTCCAAAATAGTCTAGGACCTGCCAGCAAATCTAGAACCGCCTTTCCTTGTAGGTCACCCTGAGGATACCGGGGATGATCAGAGCCGAAGTGACTGAGGACCTCAAACCCACACTTGGCCTGAGACCTGCATAAGAAGGAAGCAGACCCACAAGCCTGACAGGTGTTTAGGACATGAGGCTATCTTTACTTGAGGGAGAGAAGGAGAGAGCACACAGGTTTGGGCTTTTCAACTTGATCTCAGAAAACCATGGGATTCAGCCCTTCCACTTTTGAAAGCAAAATAGTGACTCATATGTTTACAATTCTTACCATGTATCACACGGGACTATGTTCTCATTACTCTACCAGACTAACTCCCAGTAACTGGGTGATACACAGCTGCCATTATCACTATTCTGAAAACAAGAAAATTAAGATATAAACAGTCAAAGACTCCTACCAATAGTCCATAAAAGGAAATGAGGAGCTGGGACTTAAACCCACACAATCCATCTTTATGCCCTATGCTCAACCAAAGACACTTGCTTACTAAGATTATAGGAAAGACAGCGGGACAAGCTGTATCTATAAAACACTTAGCATAAATAAGCACTTAACCACAATGTAGCTATTATTGTTAGGAAATGAGAAGACCTTTGAATGGCTTTTAGGTACCAAGTTCTTCTGTGGATGGGTATGCTCTCCTTTTCCACAGTGGAATTGCCCACCTGGGCCAACTGTCATGTAAGCTGATAGGCTGTGTTTGAAGTAGTCAGTATAACTGTAACTCTGTGTCACAGGTGTGAAATACAGCTTGATCAGTCATGGTACCTACCAGCACCTCCTGCTGAAGGACAGCACTGTGGTGCTTGTGTATGGTTGTTTATGTTTCCAATTCTCCCTGCTGGAGTTGAAGCACACACACAGGGAAGGACACACTAGATGCACAGCTCAGATGTAATATGTGCTTAAAGTCCAACCCAATGTCTAGAGCACTTCTGGAACCCCAAGGCTCCTTGTGTCCCTTTCTTATCAGTCTCCACTCCCCCACCCCCACCCCAGAGACAGCCACTGGTCTGACTTCTAATGCCTTGCATAGGTTTTGCCTGCATTTGAACTTCACAGAGGTAAGATTCCCTGCCTGTGGACTGCATTGCTTTAGTGGAAGCTTCCTGCCGTCTGCCAGGCAGGAGAGTGAGCTATGTATGGCTATGCTGAAAACACCTTCCTCCTCACTGCACCCCCATGCCTGGGAGCCTGCAGCTCCAGGCTACCAGCTGCCATCATTAAAATGTTGAATGAATAAAGAAGGGTCAGGAGAAGCTTCAGGGTGGCATGAACTCTGATAAATGATCATCCACATTCAGAACTTGGCAATTGAAGACTGACCCTTGTTGTGGCTCTCACAAAGAGCACTCAGAGAATTTGTAAAAAGGTACCCATGAGAAATGGATCAAGAAAATGTGGTATATATACACAATGAATTCTATGCCTCCGTCAGAAAGAATGACATTGCCCCATTTGTTAGGAAATGGAAAGACTTGGAAAAAATTATATTAAGTGAAGTAAGCCAGGCCCAAAGAAGCACAGGTCCCATGGTTTCCCTTATTTGCAATATCTAGTATATGTCTGAGTCAAGCAGAAAAGGTCAGATAAGGTGATGCTAGGGAAATAAACCCTAAGATATGTATTCACATGTTTTTTCCTTTCATGCGATTGTTTCTAACACATTTATAAGATTATTTCTTTGTTGCTTTGTATGTCCCTCCCCCATGGTATAACCCCTGCTTTCACTGTATTTCATGTCGGTATAATTTGTGGAGGGGAAGGGGAAAAACAGTTTAAATAGGGATACAGGTGGACCCATTGCAACAATGTAATGTACAAGTCGTTATGTCGAAAATGAACTTTACAATTTTGGGGGGTGGGGAGGATTGGGGGGGCGGGGGGAGGATGGAAATGGATGGGAAGGGGAAACAAAGGAGGAGGCTACAATGCTTGATAAGAAATGTACTCATTATCTTGCCCATGTAATTGTAACCCCTCTGTTCAGTATTTTCAAAATAAAAAAAAAGGTACCCATGAGGAAGGAGGAACATTGTGAGCCATAATGTGAAATAAGACATTCACCCTCAATTCATCATCTTTAGTGATATACCTGAGAATAAAGGTTTAAAAAAAAAGACAAAAAAACAAAACCCCCCAACAATTTAGGCCTCTTCAGATTGACAATGCACAAGTCCTTAGAAATAGACTTTGTACCCTTTGTCCTAGTAAATGGGTGTTATGTCTACTTTGAAGATGAGGAAACTGAAATTCAAAGGTAGGAATTGGGGCATCTGTGATTCTGAAACCAAATGCTCTCAGTTACTCCATTATGCATGGATAGGGGAGAGAGGGAAGCTCAGAAAAGACTCCAGCTTTGATCATGAGCAGAGGTCATTTCCTACCTGTACTTCCCATATTAAAACAGAGAAAATAGCTTCTCTTTAGTCCACAAGTAAGAAAAGAACAAGGGTGGGGGGAGCAGCCATTTCTACCTTGCCGGTTTGCTAAAAGGTTAAGTAATCATAACAGCCACAGTGCCTTTCTTGCCAAAGGTGCTCAGCCAAGGTGACTGTCAGCAGTGCCTACTGCCGGCAGCTGCCAGCCAAGACAATGGCTGCACCCCACAGCAAGCCCTTCCCCAGCCAGAGCTATAGCTCTGTCCATGGTAAGCCTGCATTTGAGGCTTTCCAGCAGGGTCTGTCACTGTCACGGCAGCAACTGAACACACAAGTCGAGCCATAGATCTGAATGACTTGCAGTAACCCATCAATTCAGTGAAACAACTGTTATTGATTTCTGGGGTTTTTCCTCCCCACTGGTTGTTTAACTGAATTGATGGTATTCTGTGACATTGATTGCACCCACCAGTTCTGTTAGTGTGATAGAGACAAATACTAGTGTGGTCCCCTGGGGAAGGGGGAAAATGAATGAAGCTGCTCATTAAAGAGAAGGTTCTAGCAAATAATTTTTTAGCAAATATTTTTTTTCTCTGATGACAGTGGTTTTCCTTCTCTACTTCTTCTGCACATGGAATTGGAAAGCATTTAAGAGGCCTGTCATTGCATGCCAATATGCTGATAAGCTGATTCCCTTTCCATTTTTCTAGTCAATGCCAAAATGCATTCACAAGTCTCTCTCCCCCTCCCCCTGCCCCTGCATAGACTTTTGTCAGTTATGAGTCATTGAAACCACTGTGTTCAATATGCTTGCACCACCACCAATCATGCGAATCACAGCTGATTTTCTGCATTAAATGAAAATTCAAGCTCCCAGGCAAGTCAACAGCACATCAACTTTAGGGGTGATGGCACACATACTTACGATTTATGAGATCTTCTCTGGAGGTTGCTTTCTGTGGATTTCAGCACAGCAGCACACTTGCCTTCACTGACAGTGATTTTAAAAACAGATGTCAGAACAGAACTCAGTGAAAGGATGGGAGGGCAAGAAGGCAAAGATCTGATCTGACTGAATTCTGGAACCTTTCTTTGAGTCACTGAATTCTTACGCTTTCCTCAGCCATGAGGAGACATAAGCTTGCTGACCCACCACTTAGGAAATGGATTTATAATTAAATTTATATTAACTTCCCCCAAAAATCAGTCTCTAAGTCTTAGTGGCTGTCATCAAAGTCCCACTGCAGTGCTGAGATCACAGGTTATAGAAATGATTGTGCAACTGAAATTCTCCATATAATGAGAGAGAGAAAACAGAAATTTGGGCTGGGAAGGTGGCTCAGTGGTAGAGTGCTTGCTTTGCATGCATGAGGCCCTGGGTTCGATTCCTCAGCACCACATAAGCAGAAAAAGCCAGAAGTGGCATTGTGGCTCAAGTGGTAGAGTGCTAGCCTTGAGCTCAAGAGCTAAGGGATAGCTCCAGGCCCAGAGTTCAGGACCCACAACCGACCCCCAAAAAAACCAAAAAAGAAAAAAATCAGAAACTCAGGATGTGGAGCTTTACTCACTATAAAGCTCCATAAGTTTGTTTACTTGGAATATAAAATGTACACTTCATATTTTTATTCATTATACCCAGTATTACATGAGTTCCTGCCAACTCATGTAGCACAGTATTGGGTGGACATGTCAATTTTTAAACTTTTGATTTGTTCCCCTACATTGGTATGCTTTATGGTGCCCAAAAGATAACCTAGCCCACACATTTCCTTGCTTAAAATGAATGGATGATGGTGAATTTGACTATGAAGCATTAGAAAGTTGATAATTCTCAGTGATGTTAGAAGAACAAACTACAAATGGCAGGAATAAAATTGTGGGAATGCCCATAAATGATTAAAATCTCCTGGCAAATGAGAAATAGAAAAAAATTCTTATCTGATTTTTTAAGCAGCTATAAAAATTTCTATTGCAAGTATAAGTCTCTATGACCAACACAGCACTCTCTCTTAAAATAAGGAACAAGGTGTTCAGTGTTGTTCAATGTCACATAGGAGACTTCACCCAGTTAATAAGAAAAAGAAATCAAACCTGCAAGGGTTGGAAACAAAAGACCAAATTGCCATTTCTCACAGTTGATATTTTGACATAAGGAAATCTTGAGATATAAGGTTTCAATATTATAAGATGTATGTATATGTTATATACATACATCTTATATAAGATGTATATATATGCAAGTGTATGCATAAAAAACCTTGCAAGTACTTAGAATTATTAATTCTAAATAAAAGAATTCCAAACTGATGGTCAATAAAAATTCAATCTAGTAAGATCAATAAGTTTCCTATATTCAATTCATTGAACCAACAGATATTTATTGAGCACTTTCTATGTGCCACCATTCCAGGTATTTGGAACTGATAGACAATATAGGCAATTGATTGGTTTTATCATGAAAAGTCAATTTTAAGGTGTCATTGAAATTAGTAGGATCAGAAAGACTAGACTGTCAATAGATTGTAAAAAGAATTCTAATCCAAGGTGTTTTGCTGTTTGATGTCATTTATCATAATGTGTTTCTGCTGTTGGATCATCAAACATTAAATAGGATAGAAAGAAGTCAGAGCAGCACACTAAGAGCCAAACTGAAGGTTTTCAGGTAGATACAATGCTATTATTTTTAAATTACACCCCCAAGTTTAATATCAATTGATCTATTCTATTAAGCAACCCAGGATCCTCAATTAGAAATAATTTTAAACTCTAGGATGTAAGCAGTGCTCACACATTTATTTTTCATATTGTTTTCAACCAAGAATAGCCCTCTCACTTATTTTTGCCTTTTGCTTCTGGTACTTGAACTCAGGGCCTGAATACTGTCTCTGGGTATTTTTGCCAAAGATATTGCTCTACCACTTGAGCCACAACTTCCAGCTGTTGTGGGTTTTTTTGGTCTTTTTTTTTGCCAGTCCTAAGCTTTGAATTCAGGGCCTAGGCTCTGTCCCTGAGCCTCTTTGTGTTCAACGTTAGTACTTTACCACCTGAGTAATGGAGCTACTTCTGGCTTTTTCTGAGTAGTTTATTGGAGATAAGAGTCTCATGGACTTTCCTGCCCAGGCTGGCTTCAAACCATGATCCTCAGATCTCAACCTCCTGAGTAGCTATGGTTATAGGCATGAGCCACTAGCTACCTCCTACATTTTTTTTAAAAAAGATTTCATGGAAGTGACATATTTTTTAAAAATCTAGGTAATAGTTCTGTGGGATACCCAACAATCTGTATTTGTCTCATTGTTTACTTGTAAGTAGATTCAATCCTAATATTACTGACAAGATTAACATCATAAGATTGATGTGTGCTTCTCACAGGATTACTTAGGAGTTATATAATGTCATAATGACATCTGTTATAGTTTGGACCTTGAAATGTGTTCCCAGGGCTTATGTGTTAAGGCTTGGCCCTAGCTAATGGGAAATGATGGAACCTTTAAGAAGTAGAGCCTAGTGGAAGAAAATAAAGGTCATTGAGGGCCGACCCATGAAGAAGATATTGAAATCCTAATCCTTTCTTTCTTCTTTTTGCTTCCTGGCTGCCATGAGGTGAGAAGCTCCTCCACCAGCACAGGCCCAGAGCAACAGCACAAAGGGACTAGGCACTGAAACCTCTGAAGCCATAGGCTAAAATACAGCTTTCCTCCTCTAATAGGTTAATTTATCTTTGGGGCATACTATCTCTTTAGTAATAATGAGTATGGAAACTTTGCTAGTAAGTATCCAGGGATCAAGAAATAAAAAATTAAGCTGGACACCAGTGGCTCATGTTGGTAATCCTAGCTACTCTGGAGGCTGAGAATTGAAGATTGTGGTTCAAAACCAGTCTAAGTAGAAAAGTCTTTGAGATTCTTATTTCTAATTCAATTCCAAAAAGCCAAAAATGGAGTTGTCTCAAGTGAAAAAGCCAAGAGGGAGCAAGAGGCCCCAAGTTCAAGTTCCAGTACCACACACACACACACACACACACACCACCACCACCACCACCACCACCACCACACCCAAACAAACAAACAAAAAACCCAACCTTGTTATCTGAGGGATTTAGTTCTAGTAATGGCTGGTATCAGCAATGTGTCTACTTCGTTCACACATTCACATCAACCTGTCTGTACTCTCACATGAACACTATCTCACCTGCCTTTTATTGCACTCCCAGTGACATCCCATCCATCCCACAGCCACACCATGTACAAAAGAGATATTTAGTTAAATATATCTTCAGTTTGGTTGTTAAAGAAAATCAGTAGTCAGCACATTACAACATGGTCTAAAATAAGTTGCAGACAAATTGAGATAAGTGTTAAAATGTGAAGAGAAGAAGGAATAGAAGGTAATCATGTTCTTTATGTGGAAGAAAAACATCGTTTTTCTAAGCTGAAAACATTAAGATACAAAGAAAATATGACTCTTGTCTACATAAAAACTCCCCAAACCTAGTAGGAGACAATGATAAAATAACCTCAATGATCAACAGCAAGGGAGAAGCATACTGGTAGTTAATATGTCAGACAAATGACTAATATTTTTTTTTGAGTCTGTTCGTGGGGCCTGAACTCTGTGCCTGGGCGCTGTCCCTCAGCTCTTCAGTTCAAGGCCAGCACTCTACCACTTAAGCCACAGCACCACTTCCAGTTTTTTTCTTTTTGCTTATGTGGTACTAAGGAATCAAACACAGGGCCTCAGGCATGCAAGGCAAGCTCTCTACCACTAAGCCACCTTCTCAGCCCCAGGACTAATATTTTTAATATATAAATTCTATGAAATAAATCCATATGGATGATACTAACAGCTAGATAGAAAATGAGCATAAAAGGAAGGAACA